ATGATGAGGTTATGCCTTCCCACTATACTGCCATCCACCGCGTCATGATGAGAGGAGATGGCAGCAACGTAAACCTTCAGTGTGCAGAGTGGCAGCCTCGGATCCAACCTATCCTGAAGTAAAGAAAGCACAACACTGATCTGGCATGTCTCGAGGTCTTCTCAGTGAGAAGTGCAGCATTCAGTGAACAGACGTCATGGGCATCATGAGGAGAGAGAGTTCTGATGTCCTGGTTTGGTTGGGCGCAATTAATAGGATTCCTCATCTTCCCTGACCTTGCACAGTGTTTGTGCAAGTATTCTCACTGGGGTAAAGGCATATTTGCACATACTTCAGGGCCAGCTGTGGGCCAGTGCGTCCGTGCCGAGGGGGGCCTCAGTCAGGGAGTAAAACCACTGGCAATTGGTGGTCTCGAGAGTGGCAAATAGGTAGACCTGGGCTTCTCCGAAGCACTCCCATATCAGCTGAACTGAACCGGGGTGGTGTCTCCATTCTCGCAAGGCATTCAGCACAAAAGTATATTATTATAAGATTATTACTTCCATACTCTGGGGTTGGGGTTACTTCATAAATATCCTGTATCTATCAGTTTTTGTTTTGTTTTGTTTTTGTAGAAATCAGCTTTAAAAGGCTGTTTAAAAGCTGTTTAAATAGACACTCCATCATGTGTGATTCACCTCTAAGAGTCACTATAAAACAACACACAAATGAATGCAGTCTCCTCCACATACAGTCACCGCCCCCACAATGAAATACTGTTAAGCCTTTCTCTAAGCCAACTCATCTCCTCCAATCAAACACACAAAACACAGCAAATCTCTCCAGATGGTAAGTATGATAGCAGCTGACCCACATGCTGTATATCAAGGCAAACCGAAGGCATCTTGCTGTTCAGGGTAAGAGTAGTGTAATGATTAAACTTTAGATAACCTTTGATTGGGATTTAAAAGCAACTGGCCAAATACACTCAACTAATTTTCAGTAACATTAAAGGAATAGATTAGACAAAAACAAAAATTCACCCATAATTTACTGATCCTCAAGCCATCCTCTATGTATGTTTTTTTTTGACAAACAAACCCAGTCGAAATAGTTTTAAATTTTATCCTGGCTTCTAGGCTATATAATGATGTTAGATGGTTGCTTTTATTTTGAAGCTTCCAAAAGCACATAAATCCATTGTAAACTAACCTATATGCCAACACTTGTCTTATGAAGTGGATTGATGTTTTTTTTTTTGCTACAGAAATATTTCTAATTTTTTTAATTAGAAACTCCAATCACTCACTATTAAGATCAGCCAAATTAATGTTGCATATGACTGACTTGGCTAACAAGCGCAAATGTTTCCTTCACAGAACAAACTGTTTCATACATTTTTGTTTGCCCTTCTAATCTTTAAATGAAATCTAAAAATGCACTTTATGTTTGTTTTCAGTTAAATTATCAGAATATGCTATTTTGAAATAATGGACATGGATAACATACTTAAACATGCTGGTTCAACTGTCACTTTTGACAACAAACAGAAATTATGAGCAGGAGGAGTCTGTTATGCTGAGTTCAGACTGCATGATTTTCAAAATAATCGTGTCACAGATTCACACTGCATGACTTTCTGGGCTAGTGTTTTGTCGCTGCTTTGATTACACTGCAAGATGGATTGGCGACAGGGAATTTCACACAGCATGATTTTTCAAAAGGAGAATAGCTGATAACTTTGTCCAAAATACGTCTCACAACCCAAAACATGTAGTATATATTTTGTTATGAACTACATAATGAGAAAGAAGCCTTTAATGGGGTAGAAAATGTACACATTTGCTCACCTGGATTTGAAGATAATTAACAATTTCTCCTCAACTTTTTTCTTTTTTGACCCTGTTGTAATATTGCTTACATAATACGTCAAACACACACGGGTGCTCCTGCCAAATTTACACTAGTTTTTCCTTCATTTCTTGGGTCCAAATAAACGGAAAATTAACGCTTTTAACTTCTCCCCCAGCCTCCCGCTGTCCTGCAGGTACCCATACTAGTGGGTCTGTCATTGGCTGTAGGTAATTTATTTTCAGTCAAAACTCATTTCACACAGCATGATTTGAATCGCCGACAGACCCAGATATTTAGCATGCCAAATATCTCACGGGCATCGGTGACTCATCGGTGATTCTCTCAGATCGCGTCTTTCATAGTTAATACTGTGTGATTGTCACTCGCGTGAACGGGCACCGCGAACCTGTCTGCGAACCTGTCTGAGAGTCAAAATCAGGGCTAAAATCATGTAGTCTGAACTCGGCATTAGGTTGTAATAACTCCTCTAAAACTTTTTTTTTTACATTTATTCAACCCACGGTACAAAAAACACAAACGTCGACCACTTTCTGTTTATTTAAAATTCAGTTTCTTTAGGAACTGTGTCACAATATGAAAAAATATAACGAGAGCAGCTTCCAGTTCATTGGGTCTTTAAATGTGGTGTTGTTGTTTACTTGACTGACTAGCGAGCTTCCATTAAAATAAATGTTTCTTTATTTAACCAGATAAAAACCCCATTAAGATCAAGATCTCATTTACAGATGTATTGTTTATTGTTTGTTCATGTTAGTAAATGCATTAATTAACATTAACTAATGAACCTTATTGTAAAGTGTGACCAAAATAATATTAATAATAAAATAAATAAATAGAAATATAAGATACTATTAAAATAAAGTTTAGTTGTTCAGCTATACCACATTAAAATATAGTATTAAAAACACATACATTGAGAAATGGTCTGTTGTTTGTTAAAAAGTATAGAGCGAAACAATGTAATTGCCAATTGTGGCAGCTTGATAACAAAGCTGACACGTCAACACACAGAATCTATTAGCACAGTTCAGCACTTTGTCTAAACGTGCCAAGAATTACGGGCCAAGAACAGTTTGTAATTGTACATTACTATTCCAGGCTCAGTGGAAACAACTGTAACCACACCGAACTGTTCCTAGAATAGTTCTGTATGATAGTGTAAAAGTGGCTTAATATACTGCATAATCTTATTTCTTGTTTTTCGTCTCTTTCTGTGGTAAACAAGCTTTGGAGCATTTCATACTGTGCTTAGCCCGGGGTTATATATATTCTAAATGCCACTTTTAACCCTAGGTAAATTTGCATTCGTGTTGTCAACCCTGCATTGCAGTTCTAACATTGTTCAGTGAGATGCAGTATTTCTTTGTTGCTGCTGGATGCTTGGCAACAGCCAGCTAATCACAAACTGGGGTGCTTTCCCAAACAAAGACTTACAGTAACTCACTGCTGAACTATCATAGTGCGATGCATCGAAAAACGATGTACTGACGAGTGTTTCCCAAAACCCGTAGTTTCTCTGTTGCAGATCCAACGTTTGAACCACATTAGTTATAACTTAAAACCTATAAAGATGCTCTAAACGGGGTGGAGTAACAACTCTTTTAGAGAACAACCCCAATATTTCTTTAAAATTCTTACACACAAACAGAATTAAAAAAAAAAAAGAAAAAAAGAAAAATTGAATATTAGTTTTGGTAAAAGCATGCATTCGTTTTCCATATTAATTTAAATAAATGGTACACATAGGGCCTATGCTTCCTTTACAAATATTATTTGAAAATTATATATTCTATTCTAAAACATAAAATTACTTACAAAAGATAACACGTATTCTAATATCATATATAAATCATATCAACAAATTAATAAATAAACAATAAGGCTATTAATTAAGAAATGAAGTTTAATTTTTATTATTTAGTACAAAATGAAGAAAATTCTACTTTAATAATAATAATATTAGTAAAATTAATGATAATGAACACTGATAAATTAACCAACTAGAAATAACCAACTATAAATTAAAAGCAGTAAAGTATGCTATGTTTTTTGTTTTCACAAGCTTTGGAGACGCACCAAAAATTCCGCTTTTAAATAAAAGGTCACCTATAGCTTTCGTCATGAGCCATGGCTTTGTTCAAAATGACATCAATGTTTTCAAAGTGCACTAGGGGATACAATTGTCAATATGAAGATCGCTAAAACTGAACTGTAAAAATACTTTGAAAGCATATTACACCTAAGAGTGATGACTTTAAAAAAAATAATTCCAAGTTGATATGTTTGTAATGTTTTAAATGAATAGGGCATAGGGGGATAACTGGGAGGAGAACACAACCAGAAACTATGTTTCTAACTACAACTCCAAAGGTGTAGTTGCATGCATCCAAGTTTGCGACGCAGTTTGTGAATGTCTGTTGGTACGATGGATTTGGAAAACAACAAATCAACTATCGATGGTTTTTAGAAATGCACCCCTGAGCAGTGAGCCTCAGGTCAGGTCATCAAGTAACAGGAAACTCGCATCATGTAAACAGCAGTTGGTAAGAGTGAAATAAGGAAATATTAAAACATGGTTAGTGTTGTAAACAACGGTAAAAAAAACTTAAATCTGGCGGTACATTTTCTGTTATTTTACAGACTTATTGTTCTATATATTATTTCATAACTACTAAAATATTAATAAAAGTAATTTTGTTCAAGACGTGTCTTATATTTTGTTTGTGTTCAGGACATGTGTTAACTCCTGGTGAATCAAATTTAAAATTACACTATCAGTGTTCATCTGATAATAATAATAAAAAAAATTGTGTACACCATATAAATATATATTTTTTTTCCCTTCATGGTGGCCATATATAATATGCAATTTTGCCAACATGCATGCAAAATGCAATAAACATGGTATGACATTTACTGCACCAGCTCAATGTGTGACTCGCTGTGTGTAAGATGCTTGCTAAATGACACTCAGCATGATGTACTACATCATTGTGAATACTATGCAAGTTCAACAGCTCATGCATAATGGGACACTCTTCTGCAGTCAATTTTAACAGACATTAATGTCATCCAATTAGTGTGCATTTGCCTGTATCACTTTGTCGGGATCATCTCTCAATATGTGATCTTTCTCTTCTGCCCAGGTTGGCCATTCGGAAGCATGGTATGCAAAATGAGCGGCATGGTGCAGGGCATTTCAGTCTCAGCCTCTGTTTTCACCTTGGTTGCCATAGCGGTTGACAGGTAATGTCATGTTAATATCACCTTGTCCCTCAGCTCAAGGCAGTAATGATGCACTTTCAAAAGATTAGTAGGTGTAGAATGACAGTTATTTCAATTTCAAAAAAATATTTAAACAGCATTTGGTCTTGAATATTTAAGACAGTGCTTTTTCAACCTTTGTGACTTAAAAGGCTCCAGCCTCATTATCCATCACAATATTCAAAGCCCGGCATATAAAGGTTAAGGTATTTCTGCTGTTATCATGACAAAGCTGCTTGTTTTAATTAACTTAAACAGTGAGTATTGTTATATATATTTTTATTCCTTGTTATATAGGAACTTTTTTATCAACATATTAATACGGATTTTTGTTTTATGTGCAATTTATTGTTAAACTATTTTTAGATATATTTCTAATAAGGTATTTAACTTTAAAGTAGGGATGTACGGATGTACGGCTTTTTTTTTTATTTTTATTTGCCCTTGAGTCCGAGTCATTTGATTTCGAGTATCTACCAATACCGAAACCTGATCCAATACTTTCAATTCAATTCAGCTTTATTTGTATAGCGCTTTTACAATGTAGATTGTGTCAAAGCAGCTTCACATAAATGGTCATAGTAACTGGATCAGGGTAGTTAGTTTTTTGTGTTTAAGTTCAGTTCAGCTTAGCTCAGTTCAGTGTGGTTTAAATCATTACTGAGAGTCCAAACACTGAAGAGCAAATTCATCAATGTGTAGCTCTACCGATCCTGAACCATGCAAGCCAGAGCAACAGCGGAGAGGGAAAAAAACTTCACCGATAGGAAAGTGAAGAAAATTCTTGAGAGGAACCAGACCAGACTTAATTTCTATACAGCTTAAAGTGACATTTTAAAAGCATAACTAGGTTAATTAGGTTAATTAGGTAAACTAGACAGGTTAGGGTAATTAGGCAAGTTATTGTATAATGATGGTTTGCTATATATATATATATATATATATATATATATATATATATATATATATATATATATATATATATATATATATATATATATAGCCCCCTTTTGAATTTTTTCCAATGATGATTAACAGGGCAAGGAAATTTTCACAGCATGTCTGATAGTATTTTTTTTTTCCAAGAGAAAGAATTATATATTTTATTTTGACAAGAATCAAGGCAGTTTTTAATTTTTGTAAACACCATTTTAGGACAAAATTATTAGCCCCTTTAAGCTAAATTGTTATTTTCGATAGTCTACAAAACAAACCATAGTTTTCTAAAAGCTTGCCTAGTTAACCTAATTAACTTAGTTAAGCCTTTAAATGTCACATTAAGCTGTAAAGAAGTGTCTTGAAAAATATCTTGTAAAAGATTATTTACTGTCATCATGGCAAAGATAAAATAAATCAGTAATTAGAAATGAGTTATGAAAATTATTATGCTTGGAAATGTGTTGAAAAAATCTTCTCTCCGTTGACATTAGTGACAAGTTGACATTTCTGTGCTGAGTTGACTTGTTCTCCCTGTGTTTGCATGGATTTTCCCCGGGCTCTCCGGTTTCCTCTCACAGGCCAAAAAACATGTAACATAAATCAATTGACCAAACCAAAGCATCACCATAGACGTGCGATTAATCATCAATATTTTTCTCCGTAGTTATTTATAATTTGCACTCACTATTAACAAACAGGGGAGTTCTCGAGACCTACCTGAGCTCAAACTCGCCCTGCAAACGGGAGTTACCCCTGGGCTCGAGGATCTCATGAGCTCAGAGCTCTCTCAAGGGACAGCTTGCCAAACACGCTTTATAATCAATCAACAGCTAAGTGTGAACCCTTGTAAGTGTCTATATTGGGATTTTTGTAAGGTTTATATCCATCCATCCAAAAATAAAAGACACTCATGTCTCATTGTATCTGCCCTAGTTTATTCAAGAATTTGTTAAATCCATCTTTTCTGAGAAACCCAAAAACAGTATTTACCATTTTGGTTCAAGAATGAGTTCTAACCCTTGCTAAGTGTAAGCAAAAGGGATTTGTTTTCACCGCACCAAAAACATTGTCTTCTCCACTCATTTTGACAACATGAACCAAACGTTTTAGGGTCAAAGCAGATATTGTTCATCATTTGCCAAGTATACACGATAGGCTGGTATAATGGTTAAATGTTACAATCCTAAACGGGTTTGTGCAGGAAGTAAGAATGATATAACTGTCTTGTTTCAGGCAGTTTAGAAACTGACATTTCTTTTGGGAGACAATAACTTAGTTTACAGTATAATGCACTTTGATTGTTGACACTATGCATGCCTTCACATTTGAAAATAGCTACATAACACAATGCATTAGGGGGGTATCAAATGCAATTCCTTCACCTCTCTCTTTCTCACTCTCTTAATTCAATTCAATTCAAACTTGCTTCATGTGCATGACAAGCGTTATAAATGTGATTTAAAGTATCTGTGATATTTAAATTATTCCACACAATTCATTCATGTTGTTCCAACACAAGTTTAATAAGTTAACACTTTTAGCAAATTTATGTGGATTAAACATAAAAAATTAAGTTGTCCCAACGAAATCTGAAGAATTGGGTTGTTTCAGCTCATTTTAAACAAGTAGTTTGAAAGAGTAAAAAAAAATGTTTTTTTTTTTTTTTGAGTGTGTCACAATTGATTGCAGCTGGTCTCTCGTGTATAATCATTAGTAAGCCAATCTGATCATTCCAAACTTATTATAAATAGCCTGACTATAGCGATACTCCCTCATCTTAAATTTTTGAATAATCCCCCCCATCTCCCCTTCAGCTCTTGAGAACTCCCTGACTCTCCTTACATGCCTTGACCAGGTGGGAGCCCTGGGATCAGTTATCTCCAAGCTCTGAGTTCTCTCCCTGGACAGCATGTCAAACCTGATATTATTCATTCAATTATTTTCTTTTTGGCTTGGTCCCTTTATTAATCTGCTGTGACAACCCCTGATTAATAAAGGGACTAAGCTGAAAAGAAAATGAATTAATGAAGGAAAGATAAGAAATATTGTTTCAGGAACATTTATGACTGCTTTGGGAAATAATGCATGTTGTCGACATCACGGGATGATTAATCGTGAAGGAACGTGTACTGTAGTCTGGCACATTTGTTACCCACAACAAGTCAAGATTGTATCAAGACAAAATCGCATAATCTGACATAGTGACTTTCATGACTGACAGTAGAAATCTTGTGACCTGACCAGGGCTTAAGTTGATATGTACAGGTACTTGCAAAGTTTCCTATAGTCGGTTGATTGTCTGTTGGTGGAGCAGAATGTTAGCGGATGTTTTAAGCAGACAGTCTGCTAATACTCTAATGAGAGTTAGTTGGCATGTTGTTGCAACATAAATTTTCAAGAAATTAATGGAGGACCATCAACATATAGTGACACCAAAAACTAAATTATTTCTGAATCATTTTGAGTATAATATCGATGCTGGGCTGTGCGGTGGCATGGTGGGTAGCGATGTCGCCTCAAAGCAAGAAGGTCTCTGGCACTGGTTTCAAGTCCAAAGACATGTGGTAGAGGTGATTTGGGTAAGCTAAAATTGACCATAGTGAATGTGTGTGAATTGAGTGTGTATGGATGTTTCCCAGTGATGGATTGCGGCTGAAAGGGCATCCTCTGCGTAAAACATATGCTGGATAAGTTGCCAGTTCATTCCACTGTGGCGACCCCAAATAAAGGGACTAAGCCGAAAAAAAAATGTATGAATTAATGAAATTGTCCAGGATGTGTGTGTGAATGAGAGTGTATGGGTGTTTGCCAGTGATGGGTTGCAGCTGGAAGTGCATCCACTGCGTAAAACATATGCTGGATAAGTTGGCATTGATAAAGGGACTAAGCCAAAAAAAAAAAATGAATGCATGAATGAATGAATATTGATGCTCCTGAAGATACCATTTTACAAACTCTAAATGGCTTTATACGCATTACGTGTAAGTCTGAAAAATAAACTTCAGGCAACTGGATGCATCTGCATCTGGCAGAATGTATGCTTTCAGAGAAAGCATATTTAAATTTACCAGTTCAGCACGTCAAGTTCTGAACACCAAGTGTGATCAGTGTGAATAGTTATTATGGGCAAGTCCTAACTGAACTGGAAGCACTAAACATTTTGTGTTTCACAGTCTACATGAAAATGTGGGAATAACAGGATCACAGTATAATGAAATTATCTCACAGGAAACATGAAATGAGGTGTTAGACTGGTTTTGGCTCGCAGGCTTTGTGTTTGCAGTGTGTGCACTCAACGAAAGGTAATATCTAAAAACACATAATGGGGCATTTTACGCTTTCCTGTAGCCGCTTTGAAGTTTACTAAAACCACCTGGGTTAAAGCCACCACTTCAGAACCACCATTAAAAGTGACATGTTGTGATCTCATTCATAGAACAACATCAAAATAAAGATATTGAGGGATTGACATGGAAATTTACCTTGTGTTTTATGAATGAGGACCATTGCTTGTAAAATTAATTGGCATAGTTGTAATGTGTTTGCCGATAATGAACCACTTGAATAATAAACCTGCAGAGTGGCACACACTGTAATAGCACAGAGATCATAAGAGCAGCTTGATATTTGATAAATCTGATGTAGGAAGGATGTGCACTCTGCTGTGTTGTTTTTAGTCCATTAGTATATGCAGGCTGTTGGAATGGATCTGTTCCTTTAGATTGGACAGCTGGACTTCTGTACCAACCTGATGTCATTGTTATATCATCACAACATGGGGCCTTTGGGGGGAGCAGTGAAATGAGAACAATCACTGTTGGACTGTGTGTGTGTGTGTATGTGTGTACTGGTGTGTGTTACTGCTGTAGAGCATCTGTTCCTTCCTAACACAACCAGACGGTGAATCAGAGTGTTATATTAACCCCGATCTACACTCACATTTTTACGCATGGAATCACATTTAATTACGTGTTAAGTAGTCAGCTAAGGTCATGTTTTACACTGTCAGTTTCACTCTAAGCACTGTTTGTATGATTCCTTCATGGTGAGCATCCGTAATCAATTTTTATGACTGTTCATTCATTCATTCATTCATTCATTTATTCATTCATTCATTTTCTTTTCGGCTTAGTCATTGTATTACCCTGGAATGAACCGCCACCTTATCCAGCATATGTTTTACGCAGCAGATCCCCTTCCAGCTGCAACCCATCACTGGGAAACATCCATACACACTTATTCACACAAATACACTATGGACAATTTAGCTTACCCAATTCACCATGTTTTTGGACTGGTGGGGGAAACCTGAGCACCCGGAGGAAACCACACAGAAATGCCAACTGACCTTGCTGGGCTGACTCGAACCAGCGATCTTCTTGTTGTGAGGCAATTGTGCTACCCACAGTGCCACCGTGCTGCCTTTATGACTGTTATGTATAGTGTATATAGTGTGTACTGTATATAAAGACAATTCAAAGTGCACACTAATGTGATAACAATAAAGATAACCATACAGATAGGTATGAAGCTCAAATAACAATTTTTAAATAGTGTAATTCTTTATATT